AATAGAAGTGGCTGGAAGACCTGCCAAGAGAGCATTGCAATAGTCAGAACAATAGATAGAACAAGAGCTTGAGCAAGGAGTTGTGTTGCATGTTCTGAAAGAAAGGGCCTGACTTAAGACTGCTTTTGAAGTCTTTAGCAATGCATATTACTAATCAAAAATTAAGGTAGGAATTTACAGTAGGAAATTTACAAAATATATTCATGGAACATGATCTTTACTTAATATCCTAATGATTTTTAGCATAAAAGAAAAATCAATAATTTAGATTTTTGACAATGTATTTTTGGCTATTGCTACAAATATACCCCAGCGACTTAAGACTTAAGTTTTGTGGTCCAGGGTCACATATATGCCGTAACCACCACCACAGCTGTTAAATAAGTTATTCACAATTTATTTGGTCATCTTTATTTCCTACAAATACAAAAGCAACAGTTCGTTTTCCTCTTGGATTTTAGAATTCTTCCAGTAATTGACCATCTGTCAGTGATGCTGGTGCAAGTTCTCCCCCCTTTTTACGAGCATTTGCCTTCTTGCTGTAAACTGAGTACAAGTCAGTAGTTAATTTTATTACTCTAATTAAGAAATGTAACAGGTTGGATTAGAGAACATTTAATAAACCTATGAGAAAAAAGCGTTAGACTGTGGAAAAAAGCCAGTGCAAATTGATGAACAGAGGTGTGACATGCGTTATTTTCGGTTCATTAAAGATTAATCTTGCAGCGGCATTTTGAATTAATTGTAGAGGTTTAATAGAAGTGGCTGGAAGACCTGCCAAGAGAGCATTGCAATAGTCAGAACAATAGATAGAACAAGAGCTTGAGCAAGGAGTTGTGTTGCATGTTCTGAAAGAAAGGGCCTGACTTAAGACTGCTTTTGTGCTCCAGGGTCATATATATGTTGTAACCACCACCACAGCTGTTAAATAAGTTATTCACAATTTATTTGGTCATCTTTATTTCCTACAAATACAAAAGCAACAGTTCGTTTTCCTCTTGGATTTTAGAATTCTTCCAGTAATTGACCATCTCCTCTTCATCTGTCAGTGATGCTGGTGCAAGTTCTCCCCCCTTTTTACGAGCATTTGCCTTCTTGCTGTAAACTGAGTACAAGTCAGTAGTTAATTTTATTACTCTAATTAAGAAATGTAACAGGTTGGATTAGAGAACATTTAATAAGCCTATGAGAAAAAAGCGTTAGACTGTGGAAAAAGCTGTCAAATGTTTGTAAAGTCATGTAGCCTACACCCATGAAACTTTTATACTTAAAGCTTTACCTTGATTGAATTGTTTTATACTTAATTTTTTAGCTACTGCCACGTTCTTTTTTTTTTGCCGTGATACCATCAAATTTTTTTTACATTAGTTCAAAAATGTACAGTTTTCACCTCTGATATTATAACAGTGATTAAGAATTTAAGTTACTTATTGACTCGGAGGTATGCGGATGTATTTTTGGCGGGAACTGTTGCCATGGTGAATCATAATTTCGGAGCTCCATTGATCATGACTTCTCATAGTCGTGGTGCACGCACTAAACTCAGAGTCAACCGAACTAACTCAGTTCAGCTGTTCTGAAACCGTTTCCCATCTCAGGGTGTCAACTCAGAGTTCAAGTTTAAACTCAGAGTTGGTTGAACTTCCTTATTGAAACAGGCCCCTGATATCATCGCCTCACACTCCATCCCAGTAGGTGGCGGAATACGCACCAAAGCTGGTTTGCCAACCGCCATTAACATCAAAGAAGAAGACAGCTGAGCACCTGAACAGAGGAAGGTCTACTGGAGCAGATACAAGCAAGCTTAAAGGAAACTCTGAAAGCACATGATGTGATGAAAAACTCAGCTTCTTCTGGAGGATTACCTTATTCAGTTTAGACAATAACCAATGAGAGCATGACATACACAAGGCAGAGAGACATGAGGCAAGGGAAGCATGACACTAACAGCAGGAATCAAACTACCCAAACACCACATTACATAGCCCCCGCCCCCCCCTCCCCCCCCCAAGGGGGGCTCCAGACGCCCAAACACAAAAACCCAACAATTCCAGGAGGGTGGAGGAGTGGAGGCGGAACTGGGGGCCCATGAAGCGGAACAGGCAGAGCAGGAAGCCATGGCGGAGCAGGCAGAGCGGGGGGCCATGGCGGAGCAGGCAGAGCAGGGCGGCCGGGTGATGACGGCAGAGCAGGAAGCCATGGCAGAGCAGAGACATGGACGAACCACTTGACTGAGTTCATGAACGGCCTCCTTGGCCGTGGCAGGACAGACTGAGTTTGTGAGCGGCCTCCGTGGCTGTGACAGGGCAGACAGTGAGTTCATGAACAGCCTCCGTGGCTGTGACAGGGCAGACAGTGAGTACAGGAACGGCCTCCACGGCTGTGACAGGGCAGACAGTGAGTTCAGGAACGGCCTCCACGGCTGTGACAGGGCAGACAGTGAGTTCAATCCAATCCAGTGCCTCCAGAAGTGGTAGCATCCACTGCAGAAACTCCTGAGGTGGTGGAGTCCGCTTCCAAACTCACAGACTGTCTTGTCACGGCCACGGACGTTCACGAACTCACTGCCTGCCCTGTCACAGGCCCAGGGCCTGCTCACGTCATGCTGACAACAAGCGGACTCCACCACCTCAGGAGTTTCTGCAGTGGATGCCGCCACCTCTGGAGGTTCTGCAATGGATGCTACCACTTCTGGAGGCACTGGATTGGATTCATGGACAGGAGAGGCCTTTGGAGAAGACTCGTGGATAGGAAAGGCCTCAGGAGCAGATTTGTAGATAGGAGAGGCCTCTGAGGCAGACTCATGGACAGGAGAAGACTCTGGAGTGCAGTGTGCAGCCCACACGCTCAAAATGGCGACCGCCATTACAGGAAGGGCATCAGAGGGTGGCAGGACCTCTAAGATGGCGGGGCTTGAGAGTGCTGACGTCACCAGGATGCCTGCAGCTCACACTGACATCAGAGGTGGGTCCGTCACACTAGCAATCAAACCTTTCAGTCTTGGCCCAAGCTCCGCATCCGACTCGGCGTGGCGGCCATCTTGGCCAGGGACTCGGGCGTGGCGGGCGGCCATCTTGGCCGGGGACTCAGGCGTGGCGGCCATCTTGGCCAGGGACTCAGGCGTGGCGGCCATGTCGTGACGAGACTCTGGAAGATCAGTTGAGATGTGATGAGACTCTAGAAGGGCGGCCATTTTGCGAAGAGACTCGTGTGGCGGCCATCTTGCGATGAAGCTCTTGAATGGCGGCCATGTTGTGAAGAATCTCTTGATGTGTCAGCATGACGTGAGCAGGCTCTGGGGCAGCAGACATGACGTTAGCAGACATGAAGTGAACAGGTTCTGACTCGGTAGATATGACGAGTAAACTTTGACTTACCTGGCATGATGTGAGCAGGTCCTGGAGTAGCAAGCGTGATGTTAGCAGGCTTTGGCTTGGCAGACATGATGTGAGCAGGCTTTGGCATAGC